TTCATTGTATTCATGACCCTGCGGCTCAACGCTCGCTAAACCTTTCTAAAACTAAGGAGGTTACACCCAGCGAGTATAATGTAGCAACCCTTTCTTGTCTGATAGTGCTCAATGTACATGTCAATGGCTGCTAATGAGGATCGCAGCGTGCGCGTTGACTAAAAGCCGAATGCTGTCTCTCATTTTCCATTAGCAGCCATTGGCATGTACATTGAGCACTATTTTTTATTGTTAAACAACGCACAGAAGAAATCTCTCACCGGCACCACCTTGGAGGTCACATGTTATACCTATTTCGAGTATGTGCCACTGGTGGCTACGTACTACGAGGGACGCACAAGCCACGCCATAAGGAGCTTCGCCCCTAAAAGTATGTCTATGGACACCCTTTCGCAAGCGTGGTCTGTACTAGAAGTTCCTGGCTCGTTACACCGGTCCTTTGTTCATCGTCTATCGCCTAAGTGATGTGACATATTCACTCGATCGTCTCGTATATCTCGGCTACCGTTCAAGGCACACGCAGCTTGTTCACATCGCCCGCCTAAAGCGTTTTCATGCTCGTGACTGATGCTCGCCCAGGAGGCTTCGTCTGGGGGAAGGGGTAGTGTTACGCTGAAGCGGCAACTTATGAAGCGAGGAAGAAGAGAACAAAGTGTTCTGTTTTGGAAGCAGCTCGCTGTCGGCGCGGCTACCTTTCGCCATTCGCGCTTCACGCTTCAATAAATACGCCCCATCGTAACAATATATATATTATCAGCCACCGCGGGTCTGACAAGTCGGTCCAAGACGCCAGTCTCTAGATGGACTGGCATGTTGGACCGTTTCAGAAAAACTTGCAGGGGGACCTCTTATGACGACATGTATGGGGCAATTACAAAAAAATACAGCAAAAACAATTACAAACTATTACACTAGTACAAAACATGATAACTCTACTGATAAAATTAATCATTAAAATAAATTGCCATAGGTTAAAATGAATAAATTGCTATTGAATAAAATAATCAATAGCACGGGATAAAACTAGAACAAAGAGAGATTGCTTGATTGAACAAAAAAAGATTAAGGCACTGTACATGACAAATGCAACTAGTGTCACATCATTATTCCACTATATGACATCATCATGACATCTCAAACCACTAAATTTTCAACCATGATCATGACGTCACTGTGACGTAGAGTAACGTGATGACGTCATCACATGGAATCGTAACATGGTCAAGAGTGGTCGGATCTCAGAGGCAATGCAGCACCAGGTGTGGTGCCTCTGATCTTGAAAGCATAGCCAAACCATGTTGAATGCAGACAGCTTTCATAGGATGGCGTGGCAATATCAATAAATAAACTGACCAACTAAAAAAAGAGGATGGCTTTTGCCTTTGATTCGTCTTAACTGACTGCACAAGGTACCCAGTGAGTTTTTTTTTAACCAAGCACATCAGCCTCGAAAGCCGTCAATCACCTCCATTCTGGTTGATCTTGCTGAGGTGTTCGGCCATGAGGGTACGCAGGGCTCGTTTGTAAGAGAGTCCCCATCGGTGGGGGAACACGGCGGCCGTGTCGACGATGGTCTCGTGAATCAGCAGCAGGGCGCGCAAGTCCGAGTCGAGACTGTGGCCCAAGAAGATTGTGTCGGCCGAAAAACGGGCCAGCAGGGCAGCCTGGACATCCCTTAGATTTGTCTTCACGCCCACCATGTCCTCTTCTGTCAGGCCGCTGAACCTGCATTACACCCGGGCGACAAAACAGCATAAAGCAATGCAGTCAGCATAGTAGCTATCAAAGTGCGAGCACTCGAATAATATCACTGCAGCAACTATAATAAAAAAACAGAAGGCGAAGACAACTTTTGCGTCATGAATAAACAAAACTTCAGAACAATTAGCAATTTCCCCGCCAAAATTGCACATATGCATCGGCAGACTTGGAAAACAAACTTACAAGTGACATGCTGTTCAATGAATAAACATAATTAGCAATACCTCTCTAAGAACACTATCTTTCTTGAAGCATTTGAAAACTCATGTAACAAAATAATAAACCAACTGGAAACTCTAAAAGGCTGGACGGTTGACTAGAAGAAATGATTGCGGGCTACAGTAAGCTTGGTTAATTTCACCCCAAAATAATTAGGTAAGTCACACTGTGCGAGGTCATTCTTTGATGTCACCAAGCATGTGCATAGCTTATTCGTATTAAACGCTCCCCAGTTTATTAAGTGGCAGATAGTCAGAACATGCTGACTGTAAGACACGGCAAACACACATTGCATGAAAGCTAATATGGTGCTACCGTCGAATTGAAACAAAGCGGCAACATCTCTATCGCCTTAGTTTACAGAGGAAACTATACAGAGAAACAGGAACATCAGAGCGGTTACCCCAAAAACAGGAGCTGCATAGTACAGCACAATGACAGTGCTTGTGCCTTCACGACGGCATTTTCACCATACTCTACTGCATCCTTAGCAACTCTGAAGTGATTGCAGCAAACGACAGTTCTGTTTTGCCACAGTGGATGTTATGTTTCTAGTGTTCTTCAAGAGCTGCACAAATGCCATCTATAAATCTATCAATAGTGACCAATGTTTCACCCAGAAGAACTGCAGTAAACAGCTGTTTCATTCCTGCTCAACGTGAGCTGTTGCAAATGTGCAGCCATCATCCACGATCGCCAGCTTTGCCAGAAATGCAGCGAACAGCAGTTTGAGTTTCCTTTCGACTTGCTGCGAATCGCCTCTAAACTGTGACCAAGTTGAACGCGACCATCAGTTCCCCTGGAAAAAATTCATTTGAAATCGGTGTCATGAGGGCACAATATCATGAGCATGGTGGGAACAGTTGAAAACAAAGAGCAGTCGTACTACCACTCACATTTTGTTGGTATCAAATTCATCAGCAACATCATGATGGATGTCATAACTGTTTCAAGTCAATGTAGTGGTTAGAAAATAATTGTTGTTATAAGCAGATGATAGCCGTTTTAATGATAATCTGACAAATTTATCTCGGATAAGAACAGGAACATTTCTCAATTCATTTGGTAAATAAGTGCATGCGTACTAAGCACTTAATTGGTTTTATAGATGACCTCAATTATTAAGCAATTCTTAAGAAACAAACCTTTTTTAATCCTGTAAAAATTCACACTATCAAGGCTTCATTGTGTTCACATCACGCACAAAACAGGCCAGTTAGGTGACCAGGGTCACCAATAACGAGCTGTACAACACACTCACCGCGTGTTGTAGTCCAGAATCTGTCCCCGCGGCTTTGCGAGCTTCTCGTAGATGGGCCTCAGGTGCCAGCCGACCACCGTGACTCGTGTGAGCTCCATTCCTTCGGACGTTTAGCACTGCACAGTATGAAAAAAAAAGAAAGAAAAGCAATTTTTAAGGCAAAACCTCGTGTGCTGGCGCTTTGTTCCCCGAAACCTGTTAGATGACTGAATGCTTGTGAAACTAAAAGCACTACAGTAGTCGATCCTGGATCTATCAAACTCAAAGGGATCGCAAATAGTTCAATATATTGATGCTTCTTATAATTATTATGTGTTTTAAAGACTTATATTAATGTATTACCATTCTTGAAACGGCTTTCAGAAACCGTAATAGACAATAATGGGACGATTTGCTCGCAGTTTGCTTAAAAAAAGGTGACAACTTCTTTTTGCAAGTTGCTGCACTTCTTCGCGTAACAAAGTCCGTAGACGTATTTTTACTTGCACGCCACCAAGTTCCCCAAGTCGTTATCATTAATCGAGCATTAAAGCTTCAAAACTAACCTAATTCAGCGCCTTGGAATACAAGCACGGTGATTAACGCTGAACACTTTTACAAGCTATGTAGCATAGTGAAATGTTGTTTAGAATGGAGCTGTCATAACTGTTTCAAGTCAAGGCAGTGGTTAGAAAGTAATTGTTCTTATAAGCACATGATAGCCGTTTTATTGATAGTCTGAGAAATTCATCCTGGATAAGGACAAGAACATTTCTCAATTCATTTGGTAAATTAGCGCATGCGTACTAAGCACATAATTGGTTTTCTAGATGATATCACTTATTAAGCAATTCATAAAAAATAAACCTTTCTTTAATCCTGCAAAAATTCACACTATCAAGGCTTCACCGTGGGCACATCACACACAAAGAAGGTCGGTTAGGTGGCCAGGGTAACCAATAGCGAGCTGTAAAACACACTCACCGGGTGTTGTAGTCCAGAATCTGTCCCCGCGGCTTTGCGAGCTTCTCGTAGACGGGCCTCAGGTCTTAGCTGACCACTGTGACTCGTGTGAGCTCCACTCCTTCGGACATGTAGCACTGCACAGTATGAAAAAAAGAAAGAAAAAGAATTTTTAAGGCAAAACCTCGTGTGCTGGCACTTTGTTCCCCGAGAACTGTTAGATGACTGAATGCTTGTGAAACTAAAAGCATTACAGTAGTCGATCCTGGATGTATCAAACTCAAAGGAATCGCAAACAGTTCGATATATTGATGCTTCATATAAGAATTATATGTTTTTAAGACTTATAATAATGCATTAAAATTCTTGAAACGGCTTTCAGAAATCTTAATAGGCAATAATGTGACGATTTCCTCGCAGTATGCCTGAAAAAGGCAACAACATCTTTTTGCAAGTTGCTGCACTTCTTCGCATTACAAAGTTCGTAGACTTATTTTTACTTGCATGCCGCCAAGTTCACCAAGTCGTTATCATCAATCGAGCATTAAAGCTTTAAAACTAACCTAATTCAGCACCTTGGCCTTCAAGCGCGGTGATTAACGCTGAACACATTTACAAGCTATGTAGCATAGTAAAAGGTTGTTTAGCACGGAGCTGTAGCGACTCATACCAGCACGGGACCACTTCCATAGCACTGACAAAGCCAGCCATGATATCAGCATCGATGCACTCAGAAACAGCGACATCATCATCTGCACCAATGAAGTCTCTTTCTGTACTCCCGTCTGATATAGCGCCCGAGAATGCTACCAATTTGCAAAACTAAGGCACTATACCTTGTTGTCAGCAGTGATGGCACACCCGAAGTCGTCACCTGACAACAAAGCCCGAAAAAACTGTGCACGACGGCGCTTTGCTTGACGTTGTTCCAAGCACCAGCCATCATTGTTATCGCTACGAGCAATTCAATCTATGGTTCGACACCAGAAAAAAGATTCAGCAAGAACGAAGCGAGAACTACTGAAGTTGACTAGCCACAATTGACAGCGCTGTCCACCCTATCCACAAATAGCTGTCGATGACACAAGGGGCGTTGTAAGTAGAGGAAAGCGAAAATGAAGAAAAAGTGCATCCTCAGAGAGGTGTACTTTATAACTAAAAAACGCCGAAAACACGTCATAAGGTTACGAATCTTGAAGGCCATGCTTTTTGGGCCTGTATAGCATTGTGCACGAACAAGGAAGAAAGGGAATGTGAACACTGCGACAAGGCCACCAAGTCACTTTGCATTCATCTCATTTCGGTGCCTTTGACAATTGGACCATTTGAAAAACAGTGTCCACACGTTATAACTTATGACATATCATGCATCCCGTGCTGATGCACTCACAAAAAGTGCTGCGCAACCACTGAAATACACCACCTTTGTGTCACTTGCAACCGAGGAGGGATCGAAACTTGTTAGAAACACGGCCGAAAAATGATCAATCTTTGTCAGAATAAACGCACTTTCTAGGCTTCGGCCTGGAGCAGCGTAGGATATATCAGAGATTGCGCTATGCGGAAGCTCAATATATGTGTGCAACCACGACTTTTTGAGCGCCTGCAGCCGACGAGGTGCCGGCTTCGAGGGTAAACGCAAGAAAGCATGCAGCGCTCCGTCTTTCCTGATAGTTTATGGTTCGCGATGCTGACGATGGCAACGCATGCTGTGCCACCTCGTTTTGGAGGGCCGCTAACGTCGTTTCGCCTGTTTGCCAGCGCACAATTGCAAGCGCACATTCCCCCTGGGTGCGCTACCAGAATCAACCTAATTTGATGACTAGGCGGCAAAAATGACAGAAATAACGAGAGTTTGATGTAAATATACGATGTGCATGGGGGCGCAGACTGGAGAACGTGCCCAAAATTTACACAATTTTTCAAATAACTTAGGGGCGAAAAACGAGTGTTCATTGTATTTGAAGCTTTGCCGAATTGTTTATTTCTCGAAAGAAGACTGCTAATGTCATGAGTTCACGTGTCGTTTCATAGGTCACTAATTACATGGCATTGTGTTACCTGTTAGTTAATCGTGAAGGCGCTCTGGGAGAATTCTTTTTTAATGTAATCAAGAAATGACCTCTCTGATTCATTTGATTGCCTCACAAATCTTGCCAAAATGTTTGTCTATTACTATAGTAAGTTGCCTTACAGTGTTGTAATTGTAGGCTCTGGGCGCCTTCTTTGTTCTCCCATTAGTTAACTACGGGATACTCAATATTATCTGCGATGGCTATCCTACCCTTTCTGATGCGTAGAGCGGCCTTAAACATTTAGTGGAACGTACCAGTCACATAACCTGGTTTACATAACCGTAGTGCCATCTTGCCACCTTCTTTTCAGAACATGTGAGCCATGTTCATTTAGTAATAACAAATAAGCATTGCCGAAATTGTATTTTTGAGCACAGACACAGCTTTATCAAAAAACAGTGTTTCCGGTATCCTCCAGTGGGTTTCAGCGCACTGGGTGACGCTGGAAACGCTGTACAGTGTGTCCCAGTGCACTACAGCACGCTGAGGGGCACTGGGACACACGGTAAAGCGTGGCCAGTGCCGCTCAGTGCGCTGAAGCGCACTGTACCACACTGTACAGCGTAGCCCAGTGTCTTAAAGCGCGCGGGGAGGCACTGGAACACACTGTACAGCGTGGGCAGTGTCTTAAAGCGCACTGGGAGGCACTGCTGACGCTGTACAGTGGCTAATGCACACTGATATTCTTAGCGGCACATTGGCAGAAATAGGCGCTGTCGGCGCATTTTCTGTAAGACTTCATATTGAATCGCGTCATGTCGAGCTTAAAATTTACAGAATATTATGGTATTCCCATCTATTTGCTACACATAGCTTCAGTTTTCTTAGGCAATGAATGCGAGTATTATATAGCATTCATATGTTGATGATGATGATGAAAAATATTTGTTATAAAAGAGAGAGGTACGGGGCCAAAGCATGACCCCGCTACATGGTCGGCGTCCTTAGTCCGGGACACCGCATGACGAGGCCCCTACTCGCGCCCGTCTCACCAGAGCCCGCTGAGACTCAAGTGATGAGCAGTTGAGGAGGGCAGTCTTTCATGCCTCTCGGGAAGGGGTAGGGGAAACGGGGTAGGAGGGAATTTTTCGGACAAGCCCACACCATGTGGAAGATATCACACGTCTCCCCACAGTGTGGGCACCGCCCATCTGTGTTCGCATCGAAATGTTTTAGGATTGCAGGACAGAGTAGAGTACCTGTCTGCAGGCGCCTAAGAGTTCACTCTTCCGCCTTACTCAGCCCCTTTGTAGGAGCCGGGTAAAGGCAGTGAGTGTCGCGATAATAGGTCAGAATTTCTTTGAACCGTAGCAGCGGTGTATTGGCCTCCGAGTCATAAGAGCCAAGGTGAGGAGCCCGGTGGGTAAGCGCTCGGGCGGCCGTGTCAGTGGCCTCATTACCTCGTAAGCCCTGCTGGCGAGGAGCCCATACGATGCGTTTTGGGGTTGGATCAGCGAGAGCCCGTTTTAGAGTTTGGCTGGCTAGGGGGGATATCTCTCCTACCAAGTAATGAGCACATGCTTTCCGGGAGTCCGTGATGATAACTTTCGAGTTGGGGTCCGCAGCAGCAAGCGCTATCGCGAGTTCCTCAGCACGCTCTGGATTTTGTGCTCGGAACGAGAGCCCATTGACATGCTTTTTCCGGTGAACTACACAAGCCGTGTAAAATCCCGTGGGCGAAGGCCCTGTTATATCTGCGTAGAATACGCCAGGTCGGGAGCCATGTTGCCTCTCAAGCGTCCGAGCCCGCACCTGTCTTCTGCTTTCGTGCGTGTGCTTATCCATGTTACTGGGGAGTGGAGAGACCGAGAGCATATGCCGCCACAGTTCCGGAATACGCTTCGCCTGTTCTGCAGTGCAAGTGTGCTGTATACGTAAGCGGTTCAGCTGGCGGCGCCCGGGTGCCGTTTGCACGAGCCGCGTATATTGATTCATAAGGTGGGCTTCCCGCAACTCCTGGTAGGAGTTGAGCACACCTAACGCCCTCAGTTTGGCGTTGCAAGGGGCCACCTGGAGATCCAGAGCTCGTTTAGTAGCCTTACGAATGATGGCACCTATTCTTTCGTCTTCTTGCTTGTTAG